GTCTCTCTTTCCTCAGCAAACAAAAGCAGCCCTTTCCTTTACAGTCAGGTATGATTTCAATAATCCCATATTTTCACAATTGATTAACAGCACTATAAGGCTGTTAAGATCCAAATGCTCTATCATCTACATATGGAATAGAAATAATGTAATAAGGAAAGTTAATTAAGCGTGACCCTTTCTTAGCCGATGATGCGTTTTTTCCCTTCATCTTCTTTTTTATACCTTTTTTATTTGCAAGACAACATTCGCAAGGACCAAACAAAAACTAGGGCAGCAGGATGGAATTCATAGCATAAAACCTCTCTTTGCATGTTTTCCTTTGGCATTTTAAAAATCAGATTTGAGTTCTCCGCACAAAATCCATACAGAATCGATCCGCTAGATAATTGTGAAGTATAATTTTTCTTTAGGCCACTGGACTATCCTGCTTTGGTTTTCTACAGGAAAGTTTCTACCACTCGGTTTTGCAAAATGTGTAGCCCAGTTCAAACTGTCCAAAGAAACGGCAATTGGGAAGTACCATCTTTGGAGTTTTCTTTCCCGTGAAAGCCCTTGATGCTGTAGAAGCGGCTTCTCCATCTTCACCATGCCTGACCCCAATTTATGCCTTTATCTTCACTCATTTCATCCTCCTTCTTTGGCGACAACAACAGTATCCGGCACTTCACATCCTGCATCAACATCAGAACATTTTCTCCATCTCTTCTTTCACTCTCTGACCTTCACATTTGGAATAAGTTGCAACCCTTCTCAAAACCCAAACGGCCACCAAACGGTTCTCTGATTCAAAGGCCGGGAGAAAACCTTCCCTTGCAAAGTGCTGTAAACCCTTCAAGCAAACCCACCTGAGCATTCACACAAACAGGAACCCCAATAATGAAGGGGCCTCGATTGCAGGGAGACTTGTCAGCCATTTGGCCGAATGCACTTACGAGGCCTTGTTTAATGTTCAGCTGTCTCAAATGAAGCTAGAAAAGAAATGCTCGCTTCTCTTTGTGTGCATGCCGGTCTCCCTGCACTTTTCCAGCTTGCCGTCCTCTCGACTTGAATCAGGAAAGCACCGGGTTGGGGAAGGTGGGTCTGCTAATTAAAACTTTCGACTGCACTACCTGTGCATGGTCTTAGCTGTCCTGTCCCGCAGATTCTTTTCCATCCGACGAGGATCCTGATTCTTGGAGCTATGTAGAATGTCATGGCCTAGTTTTCTTACCGGGATGCAGATTCGTTGCTTCTGCTAGCTGCCCGCTTTGCTCCGCTCTTTTCCTGGCATGTTTCCGTTCCTCACAAACCTGTGAATTAGCCATCTTGCAATCCACTGACTTTATAACCTTCTTCAAATATGCTGTTAGTGAACTAATATTCGCATGGTCAGTTTGGCTCAATTTATGGTTGCTTCCACTGTCAAGAATCTCTGCTCAGGGCTGTGTGTGACTCATGCTTTAAGAAGAAAGAAACCCAAGATAACCCTACAGAGCTGTCCCTTGATTCTTAGATATCTCATTGAGGTGCCTAGACTACTAGGCATTTTCTTTGCTAATTACAACTTCTGGGTCTTATTTCCCTACAGAAGAGGGTTGATTTTTCTGCACCTAATGGAAGACTCCCAAAGTTTAGGTGATTACTCTGATGAGAAAAGCTCATCTAAAGGAAATATATAGATTCCACTGTAGAATCGGGTCTAACTGGAGGGGCTGTTTTGGGTAGGTTTGCTTCAGTTAGACAACATGGATTGTGCAGAAGCTACAGGCTTTAGAACAGAAGGCCTCATCGAACTCTTCTTTTGTGTAAAATGGCATTTCAGACTTCAACACAAGCAATTGTCCTTCTGCATCTAATAATAAAAGACTCCTTAAGGACAAGAATCCTTGCCTTCTCTCTGCTCAAGCACTGGAATATTGAAACAAATTTTGCTGTATGAGGCGACAATGCCTTTTAGGCAGTTCTCAAATAAATAGAAGTAAACAGCAGTCCCAGAGTGATTTTAAGATGTATATTGTAGCTTATGCAAATCAACACTTAATCCCAGCCTAATTATTACTAGCTGCTTCTTGCTAGCATTGATGAACTGTTGTGTTTTTCTTCCGCATTTATTTTCTGTGATCTTCCAGCAACGGCTGGCAAAGAGATTTTGGCAAGGGGCTTTTTCTTTATTCTTGCTGGCTATGAGACTTGCGTGGCTTCTTCTCCTACAGCCTTGTCATGCACCCAGATGTTCAGCAGAGGATGCGGGAGAGATGGATGAGTTGCCCCCCCAATCAAGTAAGAGCCTGGATTATGGTCTCGGTGGCTCATGTTAATTGTGAACGGGTCCGCCAATCTGCACTACAAGACATGATTTGCAGGTAGGACAAAAAGATAATTATCTAGTCCTTGTGAATCATGAGAGAATCTTGAAAGCATGATCACAGTGTGTCTGGAATGCTGAAAAGTGCGGCTCAGAAAAGCTAGGATGGAGAGGAAGGTTTCCAGTGAACTGTGCTGAAAGTTTTCACCCTGTGTGACACTGTAACCTCCAATATTCCACCAGGGTCATGAGGACTGGTGGCATGGTCTGCCATCTTGAAGAGGGTTGGACTTGCATGTTCAATGTTCTGAACAAATCAAAGATGGCAGCCTCTACTTAATGGCTTTGGTCAAGAGAGCCCAAAGTGCCCTTGGGAATTTGGTGGGACTTCTTCCTTCTAGGAGGTCCTTCCTTGGAGCAAGGCACTGCGGTCAAGGTGGCCACAAAGAGTACCTGTGCAGTACTTTCGGGCAGGTATTCTGCCGTGTCCTGTGAGTTTCTTTCCTGCATCAGCAGTTGCCACAGCTATAACAACACCCTGTGGCAGATGGGAAGAGTGGTTTGTGCTGGTGCATTGGAGCAGATAGAGGGGGAGTGCCATTTGCTGCCCTGGATAAACGATTTAAACATTATCGAGCATATGGAAGAAGAAATCTTGCTAAGGAAGGGCATCAGCGAGCCCTTCCAAGAGTCCACTGAATATGTCAACATGTATGTGGGCACAGGCAATCCATATGGATTGTGTACATGTTGACATTCTGAAAACTTTGACAAAGCCCTTTATTAGTGGCTTCTGAGAAAATTTAGCAAAAGTGGGTTTTCTTAGGATCGGTGCCTGGTTAAAGAACAGGAAGCAGAGAGTGCGAATAAATGGAGAATTTGCACAGTAGCAGGAAGTACAAATGATTCTGGAGTTCTTGCATGTGTGTGTTTTAACTGTATAGTCTGCAGTTGGGGTGGACTGAATGGGGTAGAATAAGGCCACCAAGTCTGCAGATTTCACCAAATTCAGGCTCATAAATGCCACGAGGCTCCCCCTAAACTTGATGGAGCAGCAACCCACTAACTTACATAGTTTGACTGATGAAAGCAGAAAGTGAGGCATACTGGAGCTAAAAGCCTGATTTCACTTAAATAGGACGGGCTCTTAACTGACAGAAATTTACCGAGGAAGCAGTTTTAGGAAGAAATTACAGGAGAGAGCTTGATGAAAGCCCCCGTCTAAATCCATGGCCTCTAATGTGTCACCTCTCCACCAGGCTGTGCCCCTTCCCCTTGTAGCTTTCATTTTGTTTTCTTTTGGATTAGTTTAAATTATTATTTTCCACTAGGAGATTGCAGTCCTGCACAGCTTCTTCTTCCTTAGGTTCCTACAGAAATTACTTTTCTTTTAGTCTCAGCTGTTTGGTTTTGGGGTGTTTCACACCTGGCTATGCCCTCTTGACAGCCATTTTATGAATCAGCAAGCATCTTGCCAGTCATTTTGTGAGAGTGCCCATGGCACATATTTAGAATTCCTGACCCAAATGGTCCAGGGGCTCTGCTTTAAACCAAAGCTACTAATATGGTGGGTCCTTTATACAAATCCACGTCATATTGTGTTACAGTGTAAATTCTGGTCACCCAAGCTATAAAAAAGGTATTTTAAGAAGTTATCACCAGTAAAAGGTGCACAAAACCCCAACTAAACAAACAAAATGATCGGAGTGGTTGGTAATTTCCCCTGTGAGGAAAAGAAACAATACTGAGTGTATTGTAAATTTATATGAAAAATGACCAGCCAGAAAGGTCTGGCGTGGAAGCGGGATAGAGGTTTATAAAATTCTATTTGATGTAGAGAGCATGAATGGAGCTGTTCCTTCATTGGATTAGGACTCAGGGTCATCCAATGAAATGGTTTTGTAGTGGATTGACAAACGTGCTTCTTCACACACTACACACTTAATTTAGGGAATTCACCGCCATAAGATGTGGTAGCAGAGCCACTAGCTGGGTGACTTTCAAAGCCCTCAGGTGGTATTCAGGATACAGCTTTCCCCTCACAGATGTTCTACATTTGTACATCACTCACATTTTTGGAAGCTGTTTGGAAATTCTGGGCTCCCCTTCCCATGGCAAGGGGGCCCCAAAATAGCCATGTCAGGAGCCCCATCCCGGAAAGGATGCAGCCGAAAGTCTGGGGGGCAGCTTAATGCAAAATAAAGTAAGAATTAGGAATAATTTCACAAGGAAAGGAAACGAGAGGAAGAGCTCTTGTAACAGTACAATTTAAGGTATGTCTTCAACAACAAGCACAGAGAAGACGGAATCTAATAGATTAGTTATCCACAGGTGAGCGATTAGCATCTCTCAGCTCCTAAGTACGCATTATGTTAAGTGCATGCTTTGCAACCATGGTGATATTTTTAAAAGCATTAATCCTAGGTGCGGGGGGTTGAGATTTCTATTGGGGTCACAGCATGTTAAGATGGGAATTGAACCTTTCTGTTTCTTGTCACAATCTTGACAAAAACCAGAGAGAGAGAGAGAGAGCGCGCGCACAAGCAAGCGAGCTGCAATTTGTGATAGAAAAGAATTCCCACTGGTACCAACAGAAGCTCTTATTTCTGGTGTTTGGTACAGCATGCAAGACGGCTTTTCACTGTGATCATGGCTGGGAAGTGAAGGACCAAGCCAGCCTTCTCCCTGAGCCACCTCAGAAAATCTTCTCGGGGCCAAAAAATGAAAGACAGAGTTTTTATTTATCATACTTCTATACCACTCAAGAGCTGAAGCTCTCCGGGCAGTTCACAGCAATTTAAAAACATCAAATACAGCAGGAGATACAGTAAAAACACCCCAAAGTTTACAGCTACAGTGTAAAATCGAAATAAAACTCAGCAAAAGCCTTAGCAGCTATATAAGGTTTTAAAATACAGGGAACAGGATTTCAGACAGATTGAAATGAAGACTCTTGGAGAGATGCCTGGGAATAGGAGGATTTTGGCTGGTATTGGATGGAGTACAGTGTAAATACCAGCCTCTTTCAGAAGTCCACTCCGTGGCTGGGCTACCACAACAGGAAATGCTATTCTAAAGTAGCTGCAGAAGCCTGGAGAGGTGGATTGGAGAAACTTTTAAGACCTGGGCTGGGATTTACTGGAGGAAAGAAATGCAAAGGGTACATGGCTATACACGTATTTCCAATCGTGTCTGAGAGAGAACTCTCTAAAAAGGCATCTTGCATGGATCCTTGCTTCACAGCTTCGTCTATTTCCCCACTTGTCTATCAGGGAACTCTTTAAAAGCACCAGAGACCCACTGGGTGGTGGGTGGAGGAAGGTGGCCACCCAGGTATGGATGCTATGGAATGGGCTTCCACGGGAGATCGTTGAGGCCCCACTGGTGAGGGTGTTGGAGGATCGGCTGGACATGCACACGGTGGGCATGTCGTGAGTGGAGCTGGCTGGAGCCGCGGGTCAGACTAGATGGCCCGGGAGACCCCTTCCGACTCGCGCTGTTTCGATGTTTTCTTATATTCTTGAGAGGACCTCTGCGTCTCCACCCAGCCTTCTTCCGGCAAGAGCCTCCACTGCACGTTTTGCTTAGCCATCTGCGCAGCAACGATGCGATGGATGGAGAACGAGACGTCTTATGCCCACCATTCAAGGCTGGAGAACTGCCACAGGGCAGCGTGATCCGGGCTGCCGTTCCATTAAACGGTGAGCTGTTTACTGATTTAGGTAGCATATTTTAAGCCTGATTTTGAACACAAGCTGTCCCGGTGACAGATCAAGAAAACATTAAAGTGGCATATAAAATACAATACTCCAGAAGTCAGGTGCAAAACATGTCTGTTAATTTCTTTTGCTGAAAACTTCAGTGCTGTGGAAAGGGGGTTTGGGGTTTTTTTAATGACAATTTCCCCAGAATAAATAAAAATGTATTATAGATCTGGGGAGAGAACGTTTGAAAGAGGGAAAAGGTGGCATTTACGGAGCAAGGAGTGGAGGCCCTTGTTGTTATTTGATTTGAGAGGCTGGGATATGAGCTATCCTGACACGTCCATCAGCCCCCTCCTCTTTCCCAATGGAACAACCCTCCAAAATCCCATCCACCAAAATACGGAGGGGGTGCAGACCGTGCGCCTCCGAGTTTGGGGGCTTACAAGCAACAGGACTCTTCCCTAAAGGTTGGGGAAGGAGCATTCAGTGGCCCAGAAAATTGAGTGTTCACAGCTTTGTTGTGTGACTCCGGGAGTTCCCAGTGATCCCAGACTGAGGCTAACAAAGCATTGTAAATGTCAGGCCCCTTCACTGCCCTGTTTTACAGGAAATTAAACAGCATGTCCATATGTACAGACCATAACACGATGTGCTTGTCACAATTTACATTTAGGTGGCTTTATTATGTAAAATACATAATATTTTACATAATATTATGTATAATATTATACATAATAAGCATTTCCTTATATGCTGCTTTGGGGGTCTCTGGGAAAAGAGTTGCATAAAAATAAACATCATGTCCTCCCGAGTGGATAAAATGTAATTAAACCTGTAAACACTTATTTAGATCTCTTATTCCCTTATTGTTGATTACCACGTAAATGAAGAGTATTCTATGTGTCTAGCCTTGCTGATGAAAATGACAACTCCCTCCATTCGGTTCTGTATACAAAAATCCATAATTCTGAGAACTAAAGCTGGTCTCCCATATGTGATTTTCGGTTGGTCATTCAAGTTACTAGTCCCATGTGATGTGGTGTGGAAAAAAGGAGGGAGCTCTGTCCAGTTCCTCTATTCTTCAGGTCCAGTGGTGGTTCTGGGAACCAACTTCAGCATGATGGGCGTTTTGGGTTTCAGAAAGCCCCTGGTGTTCAGTTCCATGGGGATCTTTAATAGAAAGAAAGAGAAAGCGAAACATAATGGGAGGAAACCATCAGCAGACATCACTGGAAACAACTGGAAAACACACACCACAAAACACAACACACCACAACACGCCGTATGTCGCCTGGTGCCAACACTTCTTTCCTTTCAGCACCAGGCAAAAACCTTGTTATTCTCCCAATATTTTAATTGTTAAATTGTTTTTATTTGTGGTTTTACACTGAACACTGGATACTGTGCTACTTTTTACTCTTACTCTATATTTTATATTTTATTATGGTGTTGTAAACCGTCCCAAGGCATCTGTGATGGGACGGTATAGAAAAGTTTTAAACAAATAAATAGACAAAAATGTCTTCCCAGTGATTTTATTGTCTTCCGTTCATTCACCTCTCCTGCACACCCTCTGCAGCAGTTAAAGAGCACCTGGAACTGTGCCTAAGAATTAGTTTTGCACTTCTGCTGGCAGCAAAAGATGCTCTCAGTTGAGCTGGGCCAACACCATCCATTGGGACCTGCCCCACCTCCAGGGCAAGCTGCACCCCGTGCTTTCCTACCAGACCTGAATTCTAAAGGAATCAGGGCATCTGAATTTAGGAGTTATTGTCTGATTGTGCTGGGAGATGATGCCTCTCGAGAGCAAACTCCTGTTTCACTTCTGTTCTTGCTTTCCTTACCTGCTACCCTGTTAACCCGGCAGGATTTTAACTGAGCTCACAACAAACGGGTGCAGGATGTATATGCAAGAATCAGCTACTGGCTTTTTGGGAACGAACCTTTCCAAGCACTTGGGCAGTTCTGGAGCAGTTTGCCTTGCTTGGGAAATGAAGTAAAAACTCCCGGCTTACCACTGTCTCTTTGCAGGTTCGGAAAGAAAAGTTCTGCAGCAAGACCACCACCACGGCCTTCATGACCAGGAGAGCAAAGCGCATCCCAATGCAGTTCCGGGGACCTGCCCCAAAGGGCATGAAGATGTATGGATCCATGCTTTCCCTGTTCTCTTTACTGAACCTGTTTGCAAATCAGGAGAGAGGTGTACGATTTGCTCAGGGGTACAAGAGGCAACTTTAAACAGCGTTGTTCCTTCAGTTCTAGGGGGAAAGGTGAGTCAGATTCGTGACATCTGCAGGGAATTTATTAACTTAAGATTAGCTTTATTACTCTCTGGATGAAAACGATAGGGAACGTTCTACTTGTGGATAAGTAAATGCATCGGATAAGAACCCAGAAGAAGGGGAAAGAATTCACAGATGCATGGGATATTATGAAGACTGGAATTTATGCTTACATTCTGAGAATGTACAATTCCGTCAAAATATTCCACTGATGCTCTTGTGTTACTAATGCAGATTATCAGTGGAAAAGAACAAGGGATACAATGCACTAAGGGAAAACTGTTTATAGCACAATTAAGTCTTTCAGCTGAATTACCTCTCACTTATTAGTTCCTTTCATATGGCAGCTGAACATTGTTTGGAAAAATTCTTGCTTATTAGTTGGAATACTTATATGGCTGCTCAACATTTCCCGTCTGAACAATATCTTGCTTTTTAGTCAAACTGTACTGCTTTACCTAAGCTCTTGCCTAAATTATATTTTGCAGGTTATTTTAATTCTCTGGACTATATGACAAAGACACACAGTTTTCTCAATGCTACTAGTGCAACATGTCCAGATCTCTATTTTAAGCTACACACTTGGAGTCGTAGGGTTTTTTCCTGTCAACATACATAGTATTGTGACTTTACTTTTTAAAATAGATCATGTTTATTATTTTAAAGCCTCATTAAGAGTTGTCCTGCTGGATCTGATGAAAAGGTCTATCTGACCAGCACTGTTTCTACAAAAACACCCAACTGGATGTCTCCGGAAAGCTTGTAAGTAAAGGCCCAGTTTCATCAGCTGCTCTAATTTATTTCTACTATTTGGTACTCAGGTATTTCAGCACTGGCCACTTGACACTCAAGTATACCACCATTTGACTACAACAGCTAATAACAATGGCACACTTATCCTCCATTAGCGACAGTGATGCAAGCTTCATTCCTTTTGTATGTGGCTGGTACCAGACCTGCTTTTGCTAAGCACCTTGAATGTCAAGAGCATTGGCTGCTGGATTGCGCCCAGAGATCATTTTATTTTGATGCGAAGCAAACCTGCCCCTTCTCTGAGCAGCACCAGTTCTTTTATGATCTTTAAAGCTTTGACCAGAGAAATGGCTTTTGAACAGGGAAACTTTTGTACCAGAAAAACTGAACGCTTAAGTTTAATTTTCTGCATGCATCTGGACTGCGTAACCGTGTGGCTGGGTGCCAAATGCCCTGCAGCTCTTCTTTTGATAGCTGGACATAAAACCAGGCCAATGTTTCAGCTGCAAAAGCCAGCTTAGGTGTCATTTGCTCCAATACAGTTAATTAAGTTCCATGAACATTTTATGGGTGTAATCATAAAATAGACTTTATGTGGTGTTGCAGACACTAGATGTCAAACAATGATAAATGCATTATTTAGGTGGGAATAGCCATCTTATTTGCTCCCTTCTTTCTTTCTGTTGGTACTTTTTTATTTTCCAGTTTTGAGACAAGGAGAACCTCCTTCCTTGCAATCTACCTCTCCGGCCTGAACTCTTCCGGTTCCGGCCAATATTCTGGACTACGGTGTAGGACGTATGTGGGGATTACGGTGACGGTTCCTTCCGGGATGGTCACCCCATTGATCTCCACAGTGTTTTTGCAAACTCTTTCGAGCCGTCCTCCTGGAGGGTACAGCCGGAGGGTTTCATTCACCACCATGTCAAGATACTCCATCTGAAGAATTGCGTCATAGGTAGGACAAGCCTGCCAAAAAGAAATAATGCATTCTGCTCATCATAGGCGATCCAGAAATATTTTTTGACGGTATTCGACATCGGACCATGACCTGAGAGACATTCTATTGGATGGGGTTCCCGAAATGCCTCAGATTACCAGAGCGAGCTCATGGGGGCTTCAAAAGCTTAAACGGGATAAATTGTTGTCTTAAAGTAGAACCCAGTTCCTGCCCACCAGGCATCTCGGCTCTTCGATTTTCCAGGTTCCAACAAAGAAAGAAAAGGTTTTTATTTGACAAAATAAACACAGAAACAAACTACTCACAGAGAATTACACTGAGGTTTTCTTTTTCTTTTTTGTTTGGCAGATGGCTTTCAAATTTTCTGGCCATTTGGTAATAAAGCTAGAGAAGACAGGAATACTTAGCATACTTTTATTGAGGACTGTCCAGGTCCTGTTAAAGTAGTCTTAAAATAAAGTTCTGATTTTTTTCTCTTCATAAGTTTCTTTCAGCTTATGAATTAAGCTGAATTTCCAGTCCAGAGAAGACCATCATGCTAAACAAATCAGAGGCAGGAGAAGAAAAGACTGACCAAATCTGAGGTGAGCTGGCTCCACAAAAGAAGCCACCACAGCTTCGAGTTTCAAGAGCTGACTAGGACAAGACACGCCGGAAAACTTCTGTTCATCGGTTCACCATAGCTGGAGATGACGACGACAGCAGCAGCAGCAGCAAATTTTGCTGAGTTCAAATGGACAACAACTATCGGTGAAGTTCAATGGTTGGGTCCATCCCTTCTCTACCTCTTTCCATATACATTCTCACATTTAACCCTTCTAGGAAAACCATCATCGTACTTTCTGGATCACCTCACTAGTTCCAAGGACTCCAGAACTGCTCTTTCACCCCACTGTAAATGTTCCTTGTTGCACAACCGATGAGTCTTCTCTTAACAGGAGCTGTGGAGCCCATCAGAGATGTTCTCACCTGGTTGGGAAGCACCTTGTCTACCTCCTCGTGCAGCTTCTGCTGAACATCTGGGTGCAAGGCCAGGGAGTAAGAGAGGAAGCTGAGGGTGGTGCTGCTGGACTCGTAGCCCCCAAAAATGAAGACAATGGCCTGGGTCACAATCTCTTTGTCCGTCAGAGCTGCAGAAACACGGGGAGAAAATAAACGGGGAACCACCATCAAACTGTACCTTAATCTTTTCAAGCAGCAGCTCATAACAAGCCAGGTGGGACCAGGTGTTGCACTGTGTAGCTACAGAACGTGTCTCAAATTCACCTTTGGCTGGCCCCAAACTAGCCTGCATCCCTACATCCGATGGCTTTTCTCCCTGTGTATGACAAATTGCAATGGCCATATCTCTAGCCGAAGGGAGGTTTGAAGTACTAAAAGCTGGGCTTTTTCACCGGGTTATAAGACAGCGCAGGTGAGTTCCACACTGCACTAGTGGAGATAGTCCCACCGGCCGTAAAACCAGGAGCATCATGGCCGAGAATGCCTGCAGTGCCTTCCACGGTCACCATCTCAGCGCTGAGGCTTTTTGGTGAAAAACATAATGGGAACTTCTAAAATACAGACTAGGGAACATCCTTATCCCCCACAAATACCTATGCACCAAGGAAGCCCCCTGCTTCCATACCATGGGCGTTAGCGGTGCAATCCTATGTGCGTTCAGTGGGACGTGCTCCCAGCTGACCTGGGAGAACATCACACCAGCCAAACACGCACACAAAACCCCAGGGGAAACCCTAATCCTGTACCCTACACTCAAATCCAAACCCAGGCAAAATGCACACCACCCCAAAGCAAAGACGGAAAGTCTCTACGGGGAGCCTTCTCAGCTCCAAAGCATGATACTCAAACATTACTGCCTTCTGTTCTACAGCCTCTTTGCTTCTCAAAATCTACTGCTTTTCCCCCAGAACTTTGCTGACCCCAATCATACCCCAAACTGGGGGAATCTGTGTATTTACCTTTATAGGAATTTGTTTTATCAGTGATGTCACCAGAAATTTGGGAGTCAACCATGAGCTGCAGAAAGTCCACTCGGTTCTGCAAAGGAAGAGGCACAAACGTTGAGGTTAACCTGGACGGAGCCATCAAATGAGGTCTGCTTAGCCCAGTACTGAGCAATCAAGGGTCAGGTTTGGAGCTGAGCATCTCTGGGTGCAGAATATTCGAAAGCAACCATCAAACACAGGAATGACTACAGAGTCGCGAAACTGGGAGGCGGGCGCCAAACTGACCGTGTGATCGTTCTTTTGCCGGTCCTTCTTGATTTTTTTGACAACATCAATGAAGAAGTTGATGAAGGTGGGAGGCACCAGGGAAAATATCAGTTTATTCATGAGTGGTGTAAGGAATGGGAAGACAACTGGAAAACAGAAGAGCAAAGGGGTATTTCATGAGAGTGCACCAAAGCTGCGACCCCAGCAAGAAAGCGTAATTTTGGCGTCCCCGTCAGCCCATTTGAAGTCCTGGTTGGACACTAGGCCGATCATGCTCAGCCTGTCCTCCCTCACAGGGCTCTTCTGAGGATGGAGGTGGGAAGTCACTCACACAGAGAGCTACGGGGTCCTTGGAGGAAGGGAAAACCGTAATCCTCACATCATATGGCCTTACAAAAAAGGCAGTTACATATGGCCAAGCCCATCTGTTTAATAATAAATAAAAAATAAAATAAATGGGAGTAGGTATGGCCAAGTCTGCATTGTATGGTAGCAGCTGCATGAAACATCAATTTAGATCTCTATGTAAACATGTATGAATTGGCTGCATCAAGCCAGACGTTGCCCTGGAAGCAAAAACGAGCAAACTGAAGCTGTTGTATTTGAGGCAGATCACGAGAAGACAAGATTTCCTGGAGAAGAGCATTATGCAAGGGAAAGTTGCAGGCACAAATCAAAGATGGAGCGATTCCATCAGGGAAGCCCTGGCATCGCATTTGCAAAAGCTGGGCTTGGGGGCATTCATTCCTAGGCTTCCCATAAACAGGATGACACTCAGCAACGGCATGGTATTATTTTTTCCATTTGAGAAATCTGCAAGAGACACTTCCACCACCGCCACTGTAAAAGGGGAAGGGATCCCAGAGGGCTCACGGGGCACCATACCAATCAAGATGATCATCGGGTTGAGGATGGAGAACTTGAGGAGCTTCTTGATGTGAGCGATAAAAGGATCATTGGGGTTGTTGATGGAATCCACCTCGATGCTGAAGGAGGTGCTGGTGATCACATCCATGCTGTAGGCGCCGAAGATGCTGCAGGGAGGGGAAGAGCGGAAGAAGACGTTGAAAGTGAAGGGGTTCTCCAGCATGAGTCATTTTCAGAGAAAAGCCCCACAGCAGAAACAACCTTCCCATGGTTACTTCGGGCCGTCTGAACCCAGCTCTAAGTTAACGACGTTTTATTTTAAAGGGGCTTCAAAAACTGGTTAAAAAAAATCACACATCATTCAACTGCCTTACAGCATTTCTATTTTATTACCTCCCACTTTCATCTCAAAAACAGAATACTGCTATATTTTCACGATACAAAGTATGTTCTTACCAAGAAATCATTTTTCAAAACATAAAATGACGAAATCAAATAAACATTTACACCCCAGCAATATTCTCTTTAGACAGATGCAGCAGAGATGTTGTTTTTAATTTAAAATTTATTTAAAGATTATACGTCCCAAAGAAAATATTGTAGGCTATCTTAAAGTGCAATCCTATGCACTCTTAGAGAGGGAAAAGTCCTAGACCCGGCTGCTTGCTGACTGACCATCCACGCTAGATGATTTCCCATCTAAACTTGCATAGGATTGCATTGCTAATCTTTGACTCGTGTTCTCGTTTGCCCCATATGTTCATATGAATTTATTTCCTACATACAGAAATGTATTTATTATTTCACATGGGCAAGTATCAACACATCTCTTCCGCAACTACTGTCTGTGCCCTGGAAAGCTCGCCATCCCATAATTTTGCTGAACTGGCAGCTCAAGACAATCCTTCATGGACTTTTAGGTAATTTGTTTTCATCGTAAAATGGGCCATTTCCCATCAGTGCCATTGGTGTGACTCACTCTTTCATGTCTATGGGTTCACCGCTTTCCACTTTCTTCTCGACGTGCTTCGCCAACATTTTCCCATAATGGCTGAAGATGGGAAACATCTAAAACGAGAACCAGATTCTTTGGACATCCGTGAAATGGAATCATGAATATTGAGGACACTTGTAATCTGTGTCACGTCCTTGAGCGAAGGGTTGGATGCCAGTTTTGCTTGCACAGTGTTTATACCTGGCAACAGGTGTGGCCCACAGACCTGGCCGGCAGTCTCACACACCTATCATTATGCATCCTAGAATATAATGCAGAATCTTCTGCAAGATGCACAAGTTCCTTTTCAGGTGAGCTGGAGCAAATTTGCTCAAAGCAGAATGTCTAAGCATCAGTACATTTGAGGGATTTTGTTTTAAAAATCTTTTTTGAAAAGGAGCTGTTCAAAGTGGAATCTGGTCCGGAAATGGTGAAAACATGTCACATCCAGAATTTGTAGGCTTCGTACTTACCTCCTTCAATCTCCCACTTGTGAAACACGGAGACAGGATGGTGCGAATTCTCTTCCACTGTTCATCCTTAGCGATCACAACCGAGGTGTCCAGATCTCCATTCAAACCAAAGTCCTATGAAGCCCATAGTATAAAGAAAAAATCTTCGTGGACGTGAGCTGCAGCTGTAATTCTTACCCACTGTGTTTTCACACAGGGCCAGATGCTGACTCACACATCACATCCATATATGCCCAGCCGCCCCCTGAGATCAGCAGGAGAGGCCCTTTTCAGGGAGCCCTTCGTGAAAGAAATTAGGAGGGTGAGTATTCAGAGGAGGGCTTTCTCTGCGGTGGCGCCTAAGTTATGGAATGCACTCCCCAGAGAGGTCCGCCTGGTGCCATCCTTATTTGTTTTTTGGCGCCAGGCGAAGACCTTTTTATTCAAGCAGCATTTTAAATGTTAATATTATTGAATTTTTCTGGCCAGGGCGGCTTATTTTATATTGTATATTTGTAATTTATTTTAATGTACATATTTTAAAATGTTATTTAACTTATTTGTTGTAAGCCGCCCCGAGGCTTTGGCGAATGGGGCGGCATAAAAATGTTTTAATAAATAAATAAATAAAAAAATATTATTGTGAATTAGGCTGTGCACATTTGGACAGGAAAAGGTCCTTTGGGCCAGTCACTGACTCTCAGCCTAACCTACCTCACAGGGTTGTTGTGAGAACAAAATGGGGAAGATTTACATCCTCCTCTTCCTCCATCTTATCCCCACAACAACCCTGTGAGGTAGGCTAGGCTGAGAGTCTGTGAGTGGCCCAAAGTCCCCCAGTTGGTTCCATGGCTGAGTGGGGACTCGAACCCAGATCCTCTGAGTCCCAGTCCCATGCTCTTAACCACGACTAATGCTACTAATTGTTTTGGGGAATTTGAAGCAGGTATCGCCTGGGAACCATACTTTGGCCAGCCTGGAAGTGGTGTTTACCTGCAGACGGGCAGGCCCAGAATTGTGGACTTCGCACGCTGCAAAAAGCCGCTGGCGTGAGAACTGGAGCACGCTGCTCCGTCTGGCTTAGGGTGGTCTTGGCTACACAAAACAAAGACCTCCTGCCTGTGATTCGTTGGTCTCGTTCACAGTGAGTACTGAGACTCGTTCACGGTAAGTATAATATATTTTGCAGAGCCAAGAATTATCACAGAAAATGTCTCAGTGGATACCTACCCGACGGTTGGTGAAATGGGTGTAGAATTCTTTTACCAGGAGGGTTTTGATGATGGCAAGATCCAAAATAGCCATCACTGGCTGGCGACCGTCGAAAAATCTAATTGCAAAAAGAAAAGGAAACTTTGCAATTCTTGCTTGAATGCAGTAACTGTTTTCAGAGGCAGAGCCAAGATCAGAGGCCCGTCTTTAGTTATAATAGATCAGGTGGTCCAGGAGTTGGGGTAGTGTCTATGTTTCATTTATGCAGAAAATAAATAAAACTGTTCTGTTCCTTATGGCTGAAAAGCTTTTCTAGGAAACTGGTAGGCTGTGGATTGAATCGAGATGTGGTCAGGTTTTGGGAAAAAAAAACATTAAAACAGTGGGACTAAGTTGGGATCGTCTTGCATTTCATTGAATTCATGGGGTTTAAGCATGGCTAAGTCCAACCCTTAAAAAACCCTCAGAATAAAGAGAACCAGCTGAAGATCTCCGGTGTGGAACAAACATGACCCTGACCGCCAGCCTTACGAAACCGTAAAGAGGAACCAAGGAGCAAAGGCATGGGCAAAATTATCCTTTATTTAAGATACAGGGCCGTGCACCTTAGACGAAAGGCCTACAACACCAGTTTTGTTCTTATTATTAACTTATCTTGCTATCCCACCTCTCTTCCTCCTCCTCCTCCCCCCTCCATTTCATTCTCACGACATGCCTGAAAGGTAGGCTGAGCTGAGACCGACTGACTTGCCCTGAGAGCTTCGTGGCCAGGTGGGAAATAGCACCTGGCTTTCCCGAGTCCAGCACTCTGACCGCTACCCCAAACTGGCCCGTGGAGGCATTTTCTGCACCGGAACACGCACAGCACCTCCCCTTAGCTTCACAGTCCACAAAGCGCTTTGCAAAGATTAAATCAGACAGGTCCTTAGTGAAAATGCTGTAGGACAGAGACTAACAGGAAAAGGAGGAAAACTCACATACTTTGCAGGGGCTTAATGGGCATCAGGAGTGCTGAGACTGTTTGGGAGGGGAAGGGCCTCAGTGTCAAGGCTGCACTCCAGCTTTTCCTGTTCTGTCCCTGATTTATCTTTGTCCTCTGGCTGCAGTACACGCACAGGCTTCTCACACACCACCCGGAGGTCAGAGGTATGCCCCTCGATTTGGTGTGACATGCCTGAATGGAAATAAGTCAAGTCTGGGTGCTTAACTTAGGAATCTGCAAACAGTACGACCCCACGCCCCAGTTGTGTTCCTCGACCCATCCCTTCCTTCCAGAGATTTCACCCAGCAGGAAACTCACCCCCAGATTTTGCCATACTTCTGATAACACTGCTGATCAAACTCCAGTACCCCCTGCCAAGATAGAAGAAGTGTCAGAGAACCAAGCAGGAAACGAAAGCTCTTTCACCGAGAGTAACATTCCACTTATAAAGCTGGGTTTTATGGCTCAGCATACCAAACTAAATCACAGAATATCTCCCAGGCTGCAGGTAGATTGCAATCTGCGCCAGAGATGCAAAGGTGGTCGATTCTTCATTGCTGCAAATGCGGTTATTAGAATGCCTGGTTTGCAGAAGGAGGTTTGTATATACAAGTTGGGTACACCGGGGCAAACAGGGCTGGCATCAAGCCCGGGTGTGAATGGGTACCTGCCAAGGGTCTGTGCTGCGTGGGCAAGATCCAGGTGTTCCCTTAAGGTAAACAGACTCTAAGCAGCAAGGGCATTAAAGGACAGGTGTCCAGCCTAGAAAGGGAGCGAGAGCCACCGCAGGCCTTCGGAAGACGGAGCGCATGGATTCCAACAGCATTCCTCTGCTGACAGCTCATGGCCAGGGCTCCCGTAAGTTTCAGACACCCTTCAAGGATACCCCTGCCCAGAGTGGGCTGCAGTAGGTGACGCATCCTTCAGCTAAAGGGGTCACATCGGTAGGGGAATACAGAGCCACACAACCCCAGTCCCTCCTCTGAGCTTGGCCATAACACACGTGATCACACGCTTGTCCACCAAAAGCAAGTTAAAGGCCGAGTGGCTTTGCGGGACAATTTGACCTCTGTGGGGCTTCCTTCTCCAACTTGCAAAGACTCCCTGAGCAAAACCACACATCTTGTCTGCTTGGGCCAGATTTTTTCTCTGCATTCCGTGAAGGGGGAGACAATAGATTTCCTAAACCTTGCTGGCTGGAAGGAAGCGCTTCAAGCTAAAGTACGCTGTTATTTTGGGGCCTGGACTATTTGTGCTTGGCTGCCCCCATTGCAGGGATCCAAAACTCAACTTGGGCTGAAGACCCATGCACTCACGTTCCAGTATCTGAAAAAGGTCCCGATGAAAGGCAAGGGCCTTGGTCCAGGAATTCCCAGCTTCCTAAAGAAACTGTACGGCCAGATCCCATAGCTGGAAAGACAACCCATGAGAGTAGTTAGCAAGGAAGCCAGTTTCAAAGGTGTAATGACAAGAATATCTGCAGGCCAAGAGGAAGCAAGGTGGTTAAAAGACCAAGATATTCCAACATGTTTATCACTGCAGTTGGCAAATCAAGTGGTCACCACAGGGCATAGCCCAGCTGGGTTTCTACAAAGGCAAGCGAACAGCGGGCAAAGGGTGGATGGATCCCACCTCTATCCACCTGCTTGGTTTTGGTGCAAGCCACAGGTAGGAAAAGGTTTCTTCCTTCACAGCTGTCCAGAAATCATAGTGATGCACAAAACAATCAGTTAACTTACACAGGTGTAATCATGCAAATCTTAACATGAAGCTAGAACAGAAAGGGACTCTTTTTCTCCAGAAATCGGCACGTGCTCATTCTTGAAATGCCACTGAGGCCAACCAGGCGCCATTCCCCAGAAAGCTGGTTGGCCCGACGGAGAACAGCGGCTCAAAGAAAGGGCAATTCACTCCAACCCACCCCATCCGCCTTCTCTCCCCTGGAGTAACACCCCATTCTCTTCCCCTCCATCAGAGCGTCTTCTCTCTGCTTTGGGATGAAGGCAGGGAAGGTCAGCCGTGCAACCGCGCGTCGCGTGCGGGCCTTAAGGAGCGCTGCACGACAGGGCTGCCCGGGGGCGCAACGCCTGGCGCAGCGGCTCTGCTCGAGAAGGAGCCTTCTTCAGGAGCGCCTTCCCGCTGCGTGCTTAGGGCAACCGCTCGCCCCGCGCCTGGGCAACCTCCGGGGGCGTCGGGGCGCCTCTCCGGCCACAGACGCGCTCGGCAAGGGTGGCGGGGCCTCGCGGCTGCAGGGATCGGCGCGGCATGTGGTGCCGGGCGCGCCAGCGGGCCGTCCATGCCTCCCGGTCCCGAGGGCTTCCTGCAGCGGGCCAGCGTGGCCGCCCGTGGCTGGGGGCCCAGGCGCCCCCCCCCCCCCGGCCCGCTTGCGCCGGGTCGCATCCGGCATCGTGGGTTCTGACGTCGCAAGTGGCGCGGCGCTCGGAGCCGAGGGCGCAGCGCGCTGGCCCCCGGCGCCAACTCGGAGCGCAGCCCGGAGCGACGGCGGCAGCCTCGGCCGCGAGCGGGGGCTTTCCAGGGCGAGGCGGGGCCGGCCCGGGCGAGCGGGCCTCCTCGCCGAAGGGCAGCTCCACGCCCGCCCGAGCCCGCCCAGGCCCAGGCGCGCAGACACGTGGAGAGCCCCCGCCGCTACTCACAGGGCGAGGAGGGCGGCGGCGGCGGCGAGCGCCCAGGCGTCCAGGGCGCAGCCCGAGAGCAGCCCCATCCTGCCCCCGGCTCCGCGCTCGGCTGGGTCTCGCTGCCCGGGGCGAGCCGAGCCGCTCCGCTTTTCTGCGGGCCGCTTTCCTTCCTCGGGTGACGCGGCGCCCGGGCGTGGCCGCCGCGGACTCGGGCCGACGCCTGGGCCGCCCGCCAACGGAAGCTGTGCCTGTGGAGTGCCCTCGCGCCCCACCGCTGCCTTAAGTGTATTACTGGCGTATTTATGGCTCGGCTTTTTTTCCTCTTGCAAGGGACCCAAGGCGCCTGCATCCTCGTTATCCTCAGAACAGCAACCCAGCGAGGCTGCTTAGGCTGGGACGGGTCCCTGACCTATAGTGAGCGCCATGTCTAGAACTTGGATGTCCACCAGCCCAGCCAAAGGCTCTAACCACTGTGCACGCTCTCTCACATCCCTCACCCTGGTTAGCTCAAGACTCCCAGCGTGCCTGCTTCGCCCCATCACAAAATGGCTGCGGTGGGAGGCGTGGCCAGAGGCGAGTCAGCGCGCAGGTAATGGAGCCGCAGCGCACGGACCCGCACCAAGAGTGCTTGGCGGCCCCCGGACTTGCCTGCCAATGATTCTCCCCTGGAGTGGTGCTGGAGGGCCCCTGGGGCGGTTATGGGGCGGTGGTGGCGGCTGCCATGAGGGGCTAGGCGTGGATGGACTTCATCTTGGGCATCTCGCCTCCACGCACAAATAGGAGCTGCTCTAAAGAGCTACAACGCGCGCACCTGTGTCGTGGAGGGAAGCATCTTGTGCAAGGAAAGCCAGTTCTGCCTGCCTCACACCTGATCCTCATAAAGGCCTTCTTTGCAAGTGCTACTCAAGAGAAAGCCAGGACAAAAAATCAGCGTGGAAGGCAAGAGGGAATTTCGTCCTCTGGTCCTGGCAGCTTTTTGGCTCAGGTGGGCAGAGGCACGAGAACGCAGGTGCCTGGCTCTTGAATGGGGGCGCAGAAGAGGGCAGGTTGGCTCCGGAAGGTGTCGTGATGAGCAGCTCCTGTCCAAAGCTCACTTCACTGTAGGACCTCGTCACGCCCCCTGCCCTCTTCCTTTGGGTCTTTTCCATCTACAAGGCACACGGTCTGAGCTGTTGCGCATACAAGGTGAGCGTGACAACCCTGAAATTTCACCATGTCGGTTTGACCCTGGGCTATGAATTCCTGTCAAACCTGCAACCAAACTCTGGACCTGCTGGCTGGAGGAAGCAAAGAGCAAAACACCTTTATGGTGCAACTTCATGCAAGATCCTGAGCTCATTCTTCTCCTTAAACCCACAGGTGAGTAATTATACTCTTCACAACAGAAAAGTTTCATAAGAGGGGAGCAAGCAGTTGCTCTCTCTTTGCATGCTTTGTTTTATCGAGGGCGACTCCTAGCGTTTGTTAACTTTAAGAAGCTCTGAAAAAAAAAGCCAGGGCAGGAAGGAATTTTCTCAGACCTTGATGAAAACAGGCTCGCATCCTCCCTGTGGGTTTGGTCACTAATAGAACAAACATCACGTGGAGGCATGTGATGTGCTAAAGTCTATTTACCCTCGTGTGTTTTGCTTCTGAGCAGATACTGAGAGTAGTTGGCCCTTCTTCCCACCCAGACATGGCTGGATGGCACCTTTGGGTGTCTTGGTATGAAGTGCTGCATCTTCTGCTTGAGTCAAGCTGGCCGGCACGCCATCTTTGTGACCAGAACCTCTTTAAAGCGATCGTGTTTTACCTCTGGAACAGCTCTTGTACAGCTGAAGTTCAGCTTTTTGTTGACAAGATAACTTTCCGTGTTGTTTTGGTCCTTGTTTGTTACGGTTGAGTTACATTGTCATACAGTTGGCTTCTAAGTTCAGTTTGATGGGGCACCCTAGAGAGAAAAGGGGTCCAAGACTGTCGTGTCCTGCTTGTATAGGATTGCAAGTGAATAGCTGTAGGGGAAATAGCCTTGAAGTCCTCAGTAAAGCAATGGAGATGTGAGGCCTGGGTGTTCTTGCTGGCAGATGGACATTTCAGCTAGATTTGTATGGCGATGCAAGTTGAGTCCGTGTTGTTAATAAACATGGTGGGGCTGAGGGGAGCCTATGGCTGCAACCCCCACCTCTACTTTGGTCCTCTGGCTATTGGGGGGCATTAAGTGGCTCTAAATGAGATGCACAAAGCATCTTGCTTTAAAAAGAAGCGTGTGCCTTGCGGCCTATTCATATTTGTTGTTGGTGGTTGCGAAGTCGCGTCCGACCCATCACAACCCCGTGGACAACATTCCTCCAGGCCTTCCTGTCCTCCTCCATCCCCCGGAGTCCACTTAAGCTCATGCTGACTGCTTCAGTGACCCCATCCAGCCACCTCATCCTCTGCCGTCCCCTTCTTCCTTTGCCGTCAATTGTTCCCAGCATCAGGGTCTTCTCCAGGGAGTCCTTCCTTCTCATTCCGTGGCCAAAGTATTGGAGTTTTCATATTATGAGGTATTAAAGTCAAACATGCATTCTTGGCTCTTATAGGCTATCATCTTCACTTTGTTAATCAGGACTGCAGTCCTTTGAGCCTTCCTTGAAAAAGCACCCTTTAAAGAGGCCCCTTCTTAACTGGGAGAAAGGAAGAGAAGAGAGGAGATGAAAAATACTTAGAACAAGGGGAACACTCGGGAAGGAAAAGTTCAACCTCAAGGCTTGGCCTTGGTGGTATTCATTTGTCTTTCCTTTGTCTTCCTTTTGCCAGCTTTTAAAATTTATATGCAAATTTAATTATAGATTTTTTTAAAAAATCAACCAAACGGTGCATTCCCCTCTCCACAGACTAGAACATGCACATGAGTATTTGAATATCTGGGGAGGGAAGGTGCTCATTTTCAGAAAATGCCGATTTGTGCCAAAACCCATGAGCACTTTTGTGTGAGATCCTTTTCCGCCCACGAATGCAGAATGGAACAAAAGACACGCGGAGCCCTGCCAGCCGTGGACGGCACAGGTTTTAACGAGTCCGCCCGGCCCTGCCAGCGACCCAAGGGAACCAGTCATGTGTCCGTCCATCCATTTCTCTCAGCCGATTGTTCTGTGCAGGGCCCGCCAAGCAGGGAGTGCTGTAGTTCAGTTCCTCTTCAAAGCTCTGTGCAGAGGGCCGTGGCCTGGGTCCCCCAGGACTTCAACCAGACGGCACGCCGTTCGTTGGCTAAGCCTCCGCCGCTGAAGCTGCTGCCGGGTTGTGCCATTGTCTCTTGCAGCCTTGCCACCCCTCCACACTCCCTCCGAGCCACGGTCTGTGATTTCTGAGCCAGGAGAAAGAGGATTAGACAGTCGTTGGTGAGAGCCGCGACTCAGAGCCCCCTGATTGAGCGAATGAAAGCGCGGCTTGGGTTTGAAGTGCTCTCCCGCTCGGCGTGCGTTGGATGCCTGGCGGAGAGCGGCTCTGTCACAGAGGCCGGCTGCTCGGCGTGACTCGGCTGCGCCTGGAAAATGAGGCTGGCGGAAGTGGGCCGGCCCAGGACTGGCCTGGTCTTCCTTTGGGTCCTCTGAGGTGTGTCAGCCACATAATAGAGCTACACAGGCCTCCTCTCAGGCCCCCCCCCCCAGGCAGCTGGGAACCTCTGAAGCCCTCCAGGTGCTCTCCTCGTTAAATGTAGGTGGATCGGCAAAACCCCATGCCAGCGTGAGTTTCATGCCTGGAGGCAGGTCAGCTGGAGGCCTTCTAACTGTCAGTCCTGCTTGCCTTCCTCTGGCTCTTGCTCCCCCTGCGCTGTTGAATCTTGGGGGCGGTGACTGCAGCAGGACCCCACACTGCGGATAAAACAAAATTGATCCAAGCAACTTGAGCTGAACATGTTTGCTAGCATCTCTTCCCATCTTTGCTCACATTTGGTTTACCTGTTCCTTTCTTTAAAGGACCACCTAAAAAGTGAGATCTTAGAATAAACACAGATGCATCTAGGCATGTACGGAGTGCCTCTCCCTTGCCACTGAACAGTTGCTGCCTCTGTCCACTCAAAGGGCATTAAAGAGCAACCATTCTTTATAACGGGATGAAGAGGTTTCTGCCCACTCCACTTTTCCAAAAAGGAGTTCGGGAAGTGCAGCCCTTGCCCAGGGGTCACTGAAATTTTGTAATTGTCTGGATTGGTTTGCAAAATACGATCCCAGCATGTGTTGCTCTCACACCAGTTTTTCTGGGGAAATTGCCGGCATCCCAAAACGCTAGAACTGAGTGGCCAGTTCCTTTCTCAGCGTGCCTGAATGCTCTGGGCTGGATATCTCTGGGTCACCTCCAACCACCCCTTAGGCTTCTTGGCAAAGCATCGCCTGAAGTTCACCTAACCAGGAAATGCATGCTGAGCCACAGATGAGCAACATCCAGCCCGTTCTTGCTTGCAGTGTTTTAAGGGCACCGCACGGAAGGAAAAAGGAGCTGGCGGGGCAGAGGGCCAAGTCCGTGTACACAGTTCTTTACACAGGTCGCCTTCCTGCTCCTCCTCCCGGGAGCTAATTGCCACCATGAGTTACGACTTTCATCAGTATTAGTAATATGTCCGAATTGGCATCACATGTTGGGTGTTGTGAGCTTCCACGCAGGTTGCCTCAGCCGTCCGCTACTTCCTCTGTCACAAGACCGACTGAAGAGGCAGGAAAGCTCGTGGGACTGGGCAAGCAGGGGAACTCCGCTTCCAGGCCGCTCCCGTTTCTGCTTTGGGCCAGACTCTTGCACCAGCAGCTCATGCACTCGGGGCTGACAACATACTAGTGCAACTTGCTGCTTTGATAATCCTTTACTGTATGTATACTCTGTGCCTTTTTTGTAAAAAAAAATGTGCCGGAGCTCACGTTACCGCCTGCAGTAAGCAGTCAGCGTGTGACCACACACACCAATCCCAAGCCGAGCAGCGTCCCAAGCCGGGCGGCGCGGACACAGAAGCAGCCCGCAGGCACTATGTTAATGATGTTTGCTGCTGACCTGCTACGCCGGTTCAAAATCACTTCGTAAAATCCATTGGGAAAAAAGGTACCAGAACACTGTTCTGGTGCATTCTGTGACAAAAAAAGCCCTGTGTATACCCCCTTTTTCCTCTTTCGAGGAGCCCAAGAGGCCTTACGTGGTTGTCACCCTCTGCAT